CATCAACTATATCAAGAGACCAGAGGGAAACTGGGACTCAGTGGAAGAGTCTATTGCGGATGATGGCTGTGGTACTTTCATTTCTGCCTAACTTCCCTTTGCCATGACCCTTTAGATAAAAGGCAACACCAATGAGAAACAGGTTTAATTATTTTATTGTAAATACTTTTAAATAATTGCCTTCTAAATAATTGTTATTAGGATATACTAATTAAGATTACTAGGCATAATGCTCTTTCTGAAGGTCTGACCTAAGTCTAACCTAGGCGGAACACTCTTTCTGGTACAGAATTCAAAAGCACTACTGTACGGCTCAGTCGGTAACTCTGCGGCTAGGCCCACCCTCCCCTCCCGAGGGAGTGCACAGCCATCCTGAACGTTCCTTCTCTTTGCAGAAGCAATGTGATGGGGCACAAAGAGTCTAGATTGGGATCACAATCCCAGTTCTGACCCTTCCATAACCTGAGCAAAGTCATTTAACCTCTATTAAACTCAGTTTTGATCTTCAAAATGGAATGATTACACTTCATAATGCATCCTGATGGACCTTTTCTGAAGACCACCTAGGAAACATATCTGAAGACTTCTGACCAGCTCTAGGCGATGGCATAACAGAAAAATCTGGAAGGGGGTAACTGTTTAAGATTCTCACAGTGTTTTTGTTTTTGTTTTTGTTTTTTTATCTTTATTGTTGAATGTATTACAGATGTTCCTCATTTTTCCCCCATTGACCCCCTCCTCCCCACTCCCGCACCCTCCTGCCTTATCCCACACTGTTGTCTGTCCATTGGTTACGCATATAAGTTCTTTGGTTTATTTCTTCCCACCCCCCAAACCCCCTTCCCTTTGAGGTTTGTCAGTCTAGCAAACAATTTGTACTTCTTAATCCCTTCACCTTTTTCACCCATTCCCCCATCCCCCTTCCCATTTGGCAACCAACAAAATGTTCTCTATATCTATGAGGATGTTTCTGTTCTGCCTGTTCATTTTGTTTGTAGATTCAATTGTTGATAGCTATGTATTCATTGTCATTTTGTTTGTTCATATATTTTATCTTTCTCTTCAAGAAGACCCTTCAACATTTCATATAATAACGGTTTGGTGGTGATGAACTCCTTTACTTTTTCTTGTCTGGGAAACTTTTTATATGGCCATCGATTCTAAATGACAGCTTTGTAGGATACAGTAATCTTGGTTGTAGGTTCTGCTTTTCATCACTCTGAATATTTCTTGCCACTACCTTCTGGCCTGCGGTTTCCTTTGAGAAATCAGCTGACAGTCTTATGGGAACTCCCTTGTAGGTAACTAACTTCTCTTGCTGCTTTTAAGAATTTTTGTCTTCGACCTTTTGCATTTTGAAGATGATGTATCTTGGTGTGGACCTCTGTGTTCAACTTGTTTGAGACTACCTGTGCTTCCTGGACTTGTATGTCTGTTTCCTTCACTGAGTTAGGAAAGTTTTCTGCCATTATTGTTTCAAATAGATTTTTGATTTCTCGTTCCCTCTCTTCTCCTTCTGGCACCTCCAAGATGCGAATGTTGGCACGCTTGAAGTTGTCCCAGAGGCTCCTTACACTATTCTCATTTTTTTGGATTCTTTTTTCTTTTTGCTGTTCTGATTGGGTGTTTTTTGCTTCCTTATATTCCAAATCGATGGTTTGCTTCTTGGCTTTACCTACTCTACTATTGAATCTGTGTAAATTATTCTTTATTTCAGTTAGTGCCTCCTTCATTTCTGATTGTGCATCCTTCATTTCTGACTGGTCCTTTTTTATGCTCTTGAGGCCCTCACTAAGTTTGCTGAGGTTCTCACTAAGTTCATTGAGCATCCTTATAAGCAGTATTTTAAACTCAGCACCCTGTTAGGTTCTTATCTCCATTTTGCTCAGTTCTTTTCCAGGGGTTTTGTTCTGTTCTTTCATTTGGGACCTGTATCTTTGTCTACTCATTTGGCTGCCTCTCTGTGTTTGTTTCTGTGTATTACTTAACAAGAGATATGGGGCTATCTGAGACCAGATGCTGCTTGTTTGAAAGAATTTAGGAAAACCTGAAGCAGGATCCAAGACAGGCCAATCCTATGGTTAAGCAACTGGCAACAGCTTGGGTGGGCCTGAAAGTTGGGTGGGGCGGGGCCTCAGGGAATCACCAGGGCAGGGCAAACAGTGTGAGCCAGTTTGCTGGAGTCCCAGATATGGCAGCTGTGTGCCGCCCCAGGGAAGGGCTCACCAAAGGAACAAAGTCCTTTGCACATTTGTCCAGGAGAAAGCCCCCTCTCCAGCCCTTACTCCAGTGCCAAACAGCTCAGTTCTTCCCAGTATGTCTCTGGTGCCTCTCGAGCTGCCTCCTCTCCAAGCTTAGAGGGAGTAAGTCCGATAAGTCTGTGCATGGGCCCTTTAGGAAGAGCTGCCTGGGGCTCCAGCTGCCTCAGCCTCCCTGAGTCTCAGTTCCCACTGGTTTTTCCAGCTAGAAGTTATGGGGACTTCTTTTCCTGGCCTGGAACCCTGAGCGGGGCACCTGGTGTGGGATGCGGACCCCTCAGTCCTCAGGGAGGACCTTCCCAGCCAAGGTATCCTCCTTATTTTTATCTGCCACACGTGGGTGTGGGACCAGCCTGTCAAGGCTCCGCCCCTCCTACCAGTCTGGATGTGGCTGCTGCTTTAATTCCGTAGTTGTAGGACTTGCCTTCAGCTTGATTTCAGGCAGTTTTGAATGATGGTTGTTCTGTAGTTTAGTTGTAACTTTGATGTGGTTGTGGGAGGACGCGATACCGCGTTTACCTACGCCGCCATCTTGACCGGAAGTCTCTCACAGTGTTTTTAAGGTTAAGTTCAACTATTTATAAAAAAGATCTAACTTAATCTGGTTTACTAGGAACAATACTGAGTATTGTCTAAAAAAATAACTGAACTTACCTTAAAACTACTGTGAAAGCCTCCAAAACTTTTCGTGCATTCATCGCTGATATACAACTTGCTTTGTAAAATTAGGTCAACATTCTTGACTTTTTTTCTGTGAATTAATAATAATGGCAGCTGAAATGAGAAATACCACAACCATCAAGAAAAAAGTATAATGCAATGTAAAATACCTAAAACCAATTTTAAGGGAGCACCATCTTCCAGTCTTCAAAATTGCACACCTGGAAGTCTTCCAAGCTTCTCCCCTCCTCCTTTCATCCCTTACCGCTTCTTCCTATCTCAGCTGCCTCTGCCCTTCCACCGGGAGAGTGCTGAAGAATCTGAGTCAGGCAGCTACACTGGGTTTAAGTTCTGGCTCTGCCACTTACTAAATACATCACTCATGAGCAAGTCCTTTCTCTCTGTGCCTCAATTTCCTCACGCAGAACAAAAGAGGTCAAATTATGCTAGCTCTAGTCTTACCTTCCTCATAAAATATGCTCATAAACAACATTGGAGGGTGAGCCCTCTAACACACTAATCTAATTGTCTCTTTTCTGTGCAAAATTCTTCCAAGATACTACCAGGCTCACCTTATAAAATCTAGACGCCTCTGATGGACTATTCTGCATCATTTTCCATTATCTCTCTTTTCTACATGTTCAAGCAATATTGAGATTCTGTGCAGTTCCTTAGAGAAATGTATCCTCTTACATCTCTGTGTCTTTATACAGGCTGCTTCCTTGGCCTGGAATGCAGTGCCCGCCCTCACCCAAAACCTGCACCCACCTCTTCATTGTCCTGGCAAGCTCATTTTAGCTTAGGTGCTGCCTCTTCTGCAAAAGCATCCCTGACTCCCTAAGAAAATTTAGGGGCTTTTTCTCATTTCTCCATGCATAGTAAAAAAGAACCATCTCATTTTTAACTAAATACAGATATCTATCTATCTCTGTCTCTCTACTACAGCATAAGCTCCCTGAGAGCAGAAACTGTATGTTTCCATCACCAGCTCAGTGGTTGGCACATTGTAGATGTTCAATAAGTGGCAAGTGAATAAAAATCAAAAAGTTGCCCTGGCCAGTTTAGCTTAGCAGTTAGAGCGTCAGCCTGCAGTCCAAATGGTTGTGGGTTTAATTCCTGGTCAAGGGTGTAGGTTTGATCCCCGGCTCCAGTCAGGGTGGTGGAGGAGGCAACCAATCAATGTGTCTTACATCCATGTTTTTCTCTTTCCCTCCCTCCACTCCATCAAAAAAATCAATGTAAAAAAATATCCTCAGGTGAGGATTAATAACAATAAATAAATAAATAAAAACATTAAAAAAAAAATCAACCAGTTAATGTTTGTACCTACTGTGTTAAATATAATTTTTACAAGTTATCTTTAAATAATTTCTCCTAATCTTTCTAAGGATAGGAAACATCTAAGACTAAAACACATGATTTGTGTGTAAAAGACTTTACAGCAAAAATAAGAGCACTGGCAAAGTCTCTTAAAGGTGAATAAAAGGCAACAGTTCCTCAAAATAACCACCAATTTAAAACCCAGGTTATAAGCTGGAGGGGGCACAAGGCAACCTTCTCATGACTGGAAATGTTTTGTACCTTCCTTTGGATGATGGTTAAAAATGCAAGCAGCTGCATACTTAAGATTAGTGCATTTTACTGAACATCAACTAACTTCAATAAAACACACACAAATCAAGTAAGCAGTATGGGACTATGGATTCAAATAACTCCAGACTTAGTATGACCTTGGACAAGATACTTAATGTCTGGATGTCTCAATTTGCTCATCTGTAAAATTAGGAATGCTAGGAAATCTCAAAGAACTGCACCTGGCACAGAATAAGTACTATATTTTCAAGTCAGTGGGCTGTACCCCTTCAACTAATAGGTCTAATTTCTAGTCTCTCTTTTTCTTTCCTGAAATGAATCATGAGCACAGCATTTATTGTATAGTAGAACAAAAATAAATGCTGTATTTGAAAACTATTTTTATCATTTCAGTCTGAATGATAAATTACCAGCACACCACCATCTCTCAAGCTTTCAGGAGAAGGGGCTCCGTAATCAAATCGGAAGGAGCCAAGTGTTTGGTTCAATGTTCAGGAGGGAGTGTGTGACTTAATGGTTCCCTGTCACCTCTGGCTGCACACTAAGGCTGCCAGCCCCTATACTAAAGTATAATGAATAAAGAGTGACTACTATAGTAAGTTTTTAGCTACACATCCTTCCCCTTATAATTATCAAAGGAGGCTGGACAATGGCTAAAATGGACCTGTTACAAATGGGCCACAAGAGGCAGCTAAGAAAGTTCCAGTGCAGGAGTCAAGGAGGCACGAGGCTGGCAGCTAATTCTTCCACTAGGAGGGAAGTGTTATCTTCAGGCCTCCTTTTTCTCACTTGTAACACACAGATGAAGTCGTTACCAGAGGGCTATGGAGAGAAGCAAGTGCAATAATGCTCACAAAAAACTATAAATCTGTAAACAAAGCATTTATTTTTATAATCCTTTTGCTTTAAATCACCTTTAATTTTTCAGAATCCAGATTAAGGCTCCCTTGGATAAATGTAGTTCTGGTTTCACAAAACACAACTTTAATCCATTCAGCCCCCATCCATCAAAATTGTTTATGCCATCTGTGTAACAAAAAAAGTCAAACCTCACAAATGCTCACTGGGGTTAAGTTGAGGCTGTCCTTTGAGAAAATGTATAACTCACCTCTTTCATGGTTGGGGCAGGGTTTGTGTCTGCGTAGCTGCTCAAATTGTCTTCCAGGCCATCCCTTCTCTACCCTGCTAAAAACCCTTGCCCTGAGATCCACACCGTGTGGCTGTAGCCCTCCCCCACTCCTGTTTGCTGTCAGACATCAGGCTCCCAGTCCCTCCTTTCATGCATCCAAGGGTATGCCACCTGGTTCAATTTCCCTCTGTACCTCAAGTCCTGCCACCACCACAGTGTTAATAACCAACCGTCAAGTACTGAGGCCTCTAAGATTTTTTAGTCTCCTCACTACTAGTGGACTTCTCCATCACACCTATAACATGTTCCAAAATCATCCATTCAAATATTCCATTTTCTGACCATATCCTCCTGTCCTGCAAACACGTTCAGGTATTTCAACCATAATTCTTCTCTGACCACCTTGGGATCACTTGTGCCCGTCTCCTCAACTTTTCCCCATCCATTAGTTTGTTCTATTTTCTTTCAAATGACCTTTCCCTTCAGCTTAGATTCTATGGCCTACTTTTTCAATTACACTTTTGGAATTTTTAAAAACTTTTCAATTACAGTAGACATTCAATATTATATTAGTTTCAGGTATACAGCATAGTGATTAGACATTTATATAGTTTAATAAGTAATCCCCCAATAATTCTAGTACCCACCTGGCATCATACAGGGCTATTACAATATTATTCACTATATTCTCTAAGCTGTACTTTACATCCCATGACTAGTTTGTAACCACCAATCTGTACTTCTTAATCCCTTCACCTTTTTTCCCCAGTTCCCAACCCTCCTCTGAGAATTATGTTTGCCTTTGTCTTTTTGTCACTCTCAACTAGCAACGCCCCAACCTAAACTAATTTAGCTATCTATCTGTTTTGTGTCTTGTGTTGTTGGAGAAAGTCACAGATGTGTCTGACCAACTTCAAATGCACCTTTCAAATTTTTTAACTTTCCCTGATCAATTCACCTTCCTGTTCTCTACAATGACTACTTCAAATGGTCTCCACTCAATTCTCAAACTTCTGACCCTTTCATTCTCAGTATACAACATTACTTTCTGTTTGACAAATAAAATAGACCCATTAGATGGGAACTTACTGCTATCAAACATAAACGCCTATGGCTGCAGAGTGGGTGGAAGCTACACTACCACTTCCCAGTGCCAAACTGGATTTACAACTCAATTACAGATCACTCAACCTGATAACCAAATGAAGACAAGCTGAGCAGAAGTCTCATAACTAAGCATCTACAGAAGTCACACCGAGACTGGTAAAAATGGCAGAGATGCAGAAAGTGCTAGCCCCACACTCAAATGTGGCGGTTGAGAATCCAGAGGGACATCTCAGCTGCAAAGGTCCCCCTTGAGCAGTGAGGGGTCTCAACTCCATGTGGGGTCCCCAGCCTGGAGCACCAGACCAGGAAGGGGAGCTCACATAACATCTGACGTGAAAACCAGCTGGGTTTCTGTCCACCAGGGAGAAACAGGAGCCTGTGAGAAACCCAGGTGCCCTCTTAAAGAGCCAGCACACAAAATCTCATTTCTAGCCACTCACCTGGGGCTCAGGCGGAGGGAAGGCAACACAGAGCAAACTGGAGTCATGCAGAGAGGAACTGGGTTGTGTGGCGCCAAGGAGAGAACTGAAGGGTCTGCCGCCAAGGTCCCTGTGTGGGAGAGTCCCTCTCCCACATCGCCCACGGATGCCATCTTCCCTGGGTCAAGCTCTCCTATCCATACAGCACCAGCATGAGGGAGTGCACTGACCTTGTCCTTCTCACTCCCAGAAGCTCCACCCTGCTGAGCTTGTACCCTGCAGAAAACTCTGCTGGCTGCATCCAGCTTTGGACCATGGTTCACTCTGCCTTGAGGAACTATTAAGGGCATTCAGATGAACCCAGGAATTGTCAGAGACTCAGGCAGACACTGGTTGTATGGCCCTGGAGCGGGGGTCTTTTCCCTGCCCCTGCAAACCTGACTGGTCCTGACCCACAACAGGAAAGATACTAGCCTCCTCCTTGCGACTCCCAGTGGCCCTGCACTGCCAAGATCATACCCTACAGAAAAGTCTACCAGTTGCACTCAGTCTAAACCTCAGTGTGCAATTTCTTGGAGAGCTCTTGACAGACACTGACTTGTGTGGCTCCGGAGCAGGGGCCATTTTTCCCACCCCTGCTTCCCTGTCCCCTTACAGGAGATCCACAAACCCCATCCTCCCAGTAGCCCTGCTCTACTGAGCTTATACCTTATAGAGGAGACTGCGGGCTATAGTCAGCCTGGGCCCATTCTACAGACTTTTCTCAGAAGGGTCTCAAGGAAATCCAGGCAACATCAGGGGGTGGCATCACACAGGCAGAGGTGGATCTCAGGGTGCACTAGGCTTTTTCCTGGCCTGCCCTTGGGCTCGAAGCTGGTGGAAGCCCACGTTAGTACACAGAATGGCCCCTCCCATGCATACCCAGGCCCAACAGAGGCAGTCACAAACTGCTGATTGCTTTCTAGCTCCAGATAGGTAGCCCAAGGTTGGTTATAGTCAGCATCTGACATTGACCTGCAGTGAAGTCCCTCAAGAGGACTCTGAACCAACACACCAGGTGGCAAGCTTCAGACTACACCAGAGCATGCCTCAATAAGCCACACAAATAGCACACGCAAAGGAAGATCCTGGCAGGCACTAGACCCTACTGGAGCCAACTCCACTTTGGGGGGTCAGCCCCCACACAGCAGCTCATACACTATGGTTGAGGTTGATTCTCATGGTCAGCCAGCCTGAGGTTCAACCCCACCCACAGATGGGCCAACATAAATCAAGACTCCACCAGAGGGTTAACATAACCCCCACAAGGTACATTCCTAGAGCACCTAGCTAAGGTGATCAGGTAGACTGCACCACTGAGCTCCATAAGACACCTACTCCATAAGGCCAATATACCAAGATTGGGAGAATAGCAGATCTACCTAGTACACAGACACAAATATAAAGAGGCAGCCAAAATGGGGAGACAAAGAAACATGACCTAAATGAAAGAACAGAAGAAATCTCCAGAAAAAGAACTAAATGAAATGGAGGCAACCAAGCTACCAGATGCAGAGTTCAAAACAATGATTGTAAGGATGCTCAAGAAACTTAGGGGAAGAATGGATGATCTCAGTGAGAATTTAAAAGAGATAGTAAGCATAAAAAAGGACAAAAAAATCATAAAAACCAGTCAGAAATGAAGAATACAATATCTGAAATGAGGAATACACTTGAAGGAATCAACAGCAGATTAGATGAAGTAGAGGATTGAATCAGCAAATTAGAGGACAAGATAGCAAATAACACCCAAAAAGAGCAGAAAAAAAACAACAAACTGAGGGAAGTCTAAGAGACCTCTGGGACAATAACAAGTATAACAATATCTCCATGATAGTGGTACTAGAAGGAGAGGAAAAGAGAGAGAATAAGGCATTGAGAACCTATTTGAGGACATAATGGCTAAAATCTTTCCTAACCTAGTAAAGTAAAAAGACACACCTGTCCACAGAGTTCTAAACAAGATGAACCCAAAGAGGACCACGCCTAGACATATCATAATTAAAAAGGCAAAGGTTAAAGACAAAGAGAGAATCTTAAAAGCATCAAGAAAAAGATAGTTAGTGACCTATAAGAGAGCTCCCATAAGATTATCAGCTGATTTTTTTATTGTATCAATATGTATATTTTTAAATTAAATGTATTGAGGTGACATTAGTTGATAGAGTTATATGGCTTTCAGATATACAGTTCTGTGATGCATCATATCTATATATTGCATTATGTGCTCACCACATATTCTTTATCCTTTATAACCCCTCACCCCCCTTCCCTCTAGAAACAAACAAACAAAAATCATAAATGCCTATGTCCACTGGAACTATCCCTCTTCCCTTTCTTTTATATATGTCCCCTCCCCTTTTCCAAGGTCAGTCCCCACCAGCCTTTGTAACACATCCCCTTCCACCTTCTCAGGTATCTGACATATCAGTTATCCCTTCTCTATCTTCTAGAGTCATGTCTATGAAAGCACTCAGATTCTTCCCATCAGCAGTTAAACAAATTCAAGCCTTAAGACAAAACGAAATTAAAAATCTCACCCCATGTCCTATTCTTCTCTTCTCCTCTGACACCTGTAACCTGTCTATCTCCTACTTCTTTTTCACAAATGTCTTCAGGGAATGGTAGATATTTGCTGTCCTCAACTTCCACTTAGTCCTCAACCACCATTATTTCTACCTCTATCACTAAAACAAAAGAGGTCTTAACATGGTCACTATAGAGAGAGGTTTATCTCTTCCCTCCCTCCCACACCTTCCTCTGAAGTTTGTCAGTCTAAACCCTACTTTTATGTCTCTGAGTCTATTTTGTTTATCACCTTATTTTGTTCATTATATTCCACAAATAAGTGAGATCATGCGATACTTGTCTTTCTCTGACTGGCTTATTTCACTTAGCATAATACTTTCCAGGTCCCTCCATGTCGTCTCAAAGGATAAGAGATCTTTCTTTCTTACAGCTGCATAGTACTCCATTATGTATATGTACCACTGCTTTCTTATCTACTCATCCTTTTTTTTTATCCTCATCCGAGGACATTTTTCCATTTTTTGTACAGACAGAGTGGGAGGGAGAGAGAGGATGAGAGAGAGAGGGAAACATGATGTGAAAGGGCCACTCATCCTTTTATGTGGTCACTATATGTTAGATTCCTAAAGGCTCCGTATCAAGCCACTTTCTCTTTTCACTCATGCTCTCCTCCTAGGCAATTGCTTCAAATACTACCTATTCATAAACGAGTCACAATTTTTTAACCCGCATAACCAACCACCTACTTGACATCTCCTCTTAGACATTTTAAAACCACTTCAAAGCCAAAATATCTAAATGTAAACTCAATGCTCAGCTGGTGTGGCTCAGTGGTTGAGTGTCAACCCATGCACCAAGAGGTTTCCAGTTGGATTCCCAGTCAGGGCACATGCCAAGGCTATGGGCCCGATCCCAGTGAGGGGCATGCCGGAGGCAGCCAATCAATGTTTCTATCTCTCTCTCCCTCTCCCGTCCTCTCTCTAAAAAAAATTTTTAAATAAATAAATAAATGTGAACTCAAAAGCTGTCCCTGCTCATATTTGGTCTTCTACTGTTTCCAGATGAAGAGCACTATCTATCTGATTATGTGAGCTAAAAACTCAGTAGCTATGTCTCTTTTTTTTTTAATCCTCACCAGAGGATATTCTTCCACAGATCTCCAGAAAGAATGAAAGGGAGGGAGAAAGGGAGGGAGACAAACACTGATGTGAGACAGACACATCAATTGGCTGCCTCCCACATGATCCCAACTGGGGCTGGGGATCCACCCTGCAACCCAGGTACATGCCCTGGGCTAGAATTGAACCCACAACCCTTCAGTCCTCAGGCCACCACTCCAACCACTAAACCAAACTGGCCAGGACATCAGTAGTTACGTTTCAAATGTCACTCTCCTTCATTAGATCACATGTAATCCATCAGCAAGAATTGTCAAATTTACCTCCTAAATATCTCTAGAATCCATTCACTTCTCTTCTTCTCCCCTACCACCGCCTTAGTCCAAACTATCGTCATTTCTCACAGAGTTTTAGTGCAATACCTCACCCTAATAGTTTTTTTTCTTTTTTTATCCTCACCTGAGGACATTTTTTGCATTTTTCTTCAGATAGAGCAGGAGGGAGAGAGGGGGGAAGAGAGAGAGAGAAACATCAATGCAAGAGAGACACACTGAGTGGTTGCCACCAACACTACCCCAACCAGGGCTGGGGTCAAACTGCAACCGAGGTACATATCCTTAACGGGAACCAAACCCGGGACTCTCTTGTCTGCGGGCCAATGCTCTAACTGTTGAGCCAAACCAGCCAGGGCATTCCCTAATAGTTTATTTGCCAATCTATTCTTTTCAAAATATAAATCTGATATCTAAACCCCATCCCTCAAAGGGCATTTTAAGATAAAGATAAACCATCTTAACAAGAACTGTAAGACCTTACTGCATGGTCTCTGGCACCCATTTACTCACCACTTCAATCACTTAACTCTTCTTATTGCTACCTGTTTTCTAGCCAAAATGCCCTTCTTTCAGTTCTTACCATGCTCCTTCTTGCAAAAGGGCCTTTGCACATGCTCTTCTCCTGACCTGGGACTCACTTCTCTCCCCTCTTCATCTAGTTAATTCATATTCTTTTTTTATAGCATAATCACCACTTTTTCAGTCAAGACTTTTTTGATTCTCTCACACCAAGACCCATCCCCTTGACAAACCCCAATCCTACACTAACCCCAACTACCTGCTTTTGTGTGCCTGGACCTCAGCTACCAACTGTTGCTAAAGAAAGTCACTGATGTGTTCTACCATTCTCAAATGCACCATTCAAGAAAGTCCTGCCACCCTTTTACAGGCACTCATAGCACTGTGTACGTCTCCTTCAAAGCACTTGCCACAATTCTAGTTCAACATTTATCTTTGTGGCAGGTGCCTGATGTCTACCGCATCTATTTTATATCTTAAGCTCCATAAAGACAGCCTGTTTTCATACCGATGCATCCTAGTGCTTAGCCCCAGTGCTTGCCATAGTATGGGCTCTAAAACTATGACTCTCAAATGGAGTTTGAAAATGCTTTAAAGTGCCTTACCTTGTAAATCTTCCATCAATTCAAACATTCCAGGATAGTTAACTTGAATTTCATCTGTGTCCTATTTAAAAAAAAAAAAAAAGAAATATTAATTTGATATTCATCACCCAAAAACTCCAGATTCAAAAGAAGGCCACAGATATTACCCAGACCAATCTCTCACGGTCAGCAGGAATCTTCTTATAAATATTCTTCACAAATGTCATCTGGCTTATGCTTGATTTATGATTATTTCAAATTGCAGAATAAATATTTGCCATTTTAAGAGAACTCTTCCTAAAAATCCACCAACTGGTTCTAGTTTTTTTCTCTGGGAACAACACAGAAAAAGTCTGTTCTGTATTCTGCCAACCATTACCTTCATCAAATCTAAAAACTCTGCCAGGACACTGTAGGGGAGCAGAATTTCACCCCCAAAATATGTTTATTTGGCACAAGGATTATTTTAGGTTGATTATTTTTAAAAACCAAAAGGCTCCAGAAAAGCTTCTTACCTTAGCTGCCTAAAATAATTTTGATGAAGGGCCTGGTTCTGGAAGAACATTATCACCAGAGGAATCTACAAAGAATATGGGCTAGGTGTGGTAGGAGAAGTTTGGCAGAACTTGAAGATCAAGGACCTCTCTGTGTCTCACTTTGTATGCATGGCATAGCAAACATTTGTTTACCAAGCATTTGTTTTGCCACTTCCATGTAAATTGCCCTCCTCACCTCTGAAGTCTCAGAATCCTAATCCTTCTCTTTAGTTCAGAATGGCATATAAACCCCAGTTGCCTGACTGTCTGTGGGCCCCATATTCATTTGGAGCTCCATTACATAGGAAATTAAATTTTATTTTCTTCTGTTAATCTGTCTCATGTCAATATAATTCTTAGACTAGTCAGAAGAACCTAGAATAGAGGATACCTTTTTCCTCCCCACCACCACCATAATTTTTTTAGGGAGAGAGGTTAGTCTTCTAGACAAAATTAATAGATCCTTACATGTTCTCACTACATTTCTCTGCACATAGTCAATGTCAATCTCTCTCTTAAAATGTGGTACCTAGTATCAAGTCAAATAGGTTCATTCCCAAGATAGTCTCATTCTACTTCTAGTAATGCAGCAATATTGCACTGGTTCAGTTAGGAAATGGGCAAACTGCTGAGACATACAACTTATTTCTCAAATAAACAGCTTATTTCTCAAATGATGCTCCATTCTTTATGAAGCTTGATACAGGAGTTTATTATTGGTACAGTGGCAGAGACTACTGATGTTCCCCAAATGTCCAGATGATCCTTGACAACTTTCTGACACCAAACACGCATTTCCTCTGATCAAAAAAAAAGGGGGAGGAGGGAAGGTAATAAAGAGCTAGTGAGTCTTTTCCAGGCCATCTCTTCTGCTATGGTGACTTAGAAGATTCAAAGGCCAGACAGCACAACTATAAGATGGAGATGAGCAGCCAAAATGCACGGGGCTGTGATGTAATAAAATTGTGTTAACCACTAAGCTGTAGGAGTGTGTCTGTATTGGAAACTAGCCCTAAATACAGTACATCCACTTTTTTTTTCTCAAATTTGAATAAAAATGCTGCATGTATCCCAAACTTATCTTATTTGCACTAATTACTTTTGACATACCTAGATCTTTTTGTGTTCTTTAATTTTATATGTGTCGCCTATTCCTCCCAATTTTAGACTTTAGTGTTGCACAGAATCAAGAACAAAGCCCAAAAGAACACTTATCAAAAACACTTATCCATTCTAATTCTTAAAGAAATGTAAAAGAAAATGACCAGCTACTTTTATTTTAAACCTTACAGATACAAAAAAAAGCATAAGCCAGAATTCACATACACTGGTGAATAGGCATATAACTTGACGCTACCTTTTGTAGAGTAACTTGACCTATCTGCCAAATTTCAAATGCACAGATCCTTTGACCCAGCGATTACATTGCTAGAAATTAACCTGACAAATGTGCCAAGATTATGTAAAAGAAAATCCATTACAGCTCTGTATGAAAGATTTAAAAAACAAACAAACAAACACCAAAAACAAAATGGAAACAAGTTCAATATCCATTAATAGAGTACGGTTAAATAAATTAAAGCATATCTATTTAATGAAATACTATACAGCTATTAAAAAAGAATGCAGTAGATATATGTTTGTAGGGTAAGATCTCCAAGATGTTATTGAATAAAAAACAATAATCAAGAGCGCAATATAGAAAAAGAGCAAAATATGTGTGTATATACACATATACATATATAGTTACATTTGTAGGTTTCACAGGACATAATTGTATTTGAGTCTACAAGGAAAAATTTTTTGAAAGTATGTATAAGACAGTCAATAAAGGTTGTCTTTGGGGACAGAGACAGTGTATCAGAAGTCAGGAGAAGAAATTTTTTTTCACTTTAGACCTGCTCTATATTTATTACATTCTCTCTATATATACAATTTTTATTTCCTTTTTTTTTAAAATCCTCATCTGAGGATATTTTTTTATTATTTTTAGAGGGCAGGGGAGAGAGAAACATCAATATAAGAAAGAAACATTGATCAGTTGCCTCCCACAGGCACCCTGACTGGGGATCAAACCTGCAACCTAGGTATGTGTTCTAACCACCAGTCAAACATGCAACCTTTTGGTGCACCAGATGACATTCCAACCAACTGAGGAACCTGGCCAGGGCTTCCTTTTTTTTTTTTCAAAGATATGTATGGATCAGGCTGTGCATGCATTTTTTAATAAAACCGTCTCTGGGTGATCCATTTCTTCTATATATTTTCCTACATTAAGAAACTATTTTTAAAAAGAGATCCTAAGATTAAAATCAAAATTTCTTCCAAGCTGAAATGCAGCCATTAAGCAATATCCTTTGAAAACTATTCTTCAATGAAACAAACTATTAGCACTATCTCCATCTCAATCAAAGAGTACCACAATAGCTTTATCAAAGGCTTTATTCAAATTAAGATGGATCATATTTTCATTTTCTCCTAATATACTAGTCTTGTGACTCTTCAAAAAGGAAATGAGCTTCATTTAGAATGCCAACTGACTCTGAAAATAATTCACTAAGAGGGACATATAAATATCAACATAAGTATTTGGTTTTAATTTAACCTGATTTAATTTAAAATAGGAAACTATTGCAGTATAAAAGCAATATATCTAATTGTTGTATTCAACATAAACCTGTGTAATTGATTATATAAAGGCTTTTTTGGATGGGTTTTTTAGAAAATGAATTAGAGTACAATGTTAATATAGCACTTTGGAGACAGTGTACATGTCTCAAAGAACAAATTTATAGATTATTGAATCAGCAACTCTCTAATTTTATAAACTATAAAGAAGATTCTACACCAATATTTTTGTAATGTTTAAGTCATTCAGTTCCTATATGGAAAAGAATATGGAAGATATTCTAAATTAACAGATTTCCCAATTAACTTAAATGTAGGCTATGATATCAGGTTAAGCATTTTTAGTAGAAATCTTTCTAAAACGCACAATCCACTTGACAACCATAGAAAACCGCATTAATTAACATAATTGTTACAGCAATATGGAAGGCAATTCTTAAGAGGGTGAACTGTAAATATAATCTTTTCCTTTTTATAAATAAAATAAATATTAGAGATTGATGCTTTAAACCAGTAGATTCTGATCTATTTCAGTCATAGTCCTCTCAAGATCTGATGAAAATTATGGGTCCTGTCCTTTACATATGAACAACGTGGACCCTCTAAAGTTTACTGACAGGCCCTCTACAAATCCAAGAAAATCAGGCAGGGATTTCTGGTTTTTTTTCACTGCTATTTCCAACATACCTACAATAGTGCCTGACACAGAGAAGGTACTCAATACATGTTTGTTGTAAGATTGAATAAATAAATAAAAACACGACACAAGGATAGCCCTTTCAGAATTGTTTCTATTGGCAAAAAATCCAACAACAAAAATGGAACAAACCTAAATGTTATTCATGAGGGATATAATTAAATAAAACTGTGGTACAGTCATACTAGAAAATAATGTGCAGAAGTTAAGGAGGGCAAATATATTTGTATTGATTTGGAAAACAATCTAAAATATCGTTACGAAAAATAAGTTTCAGAAATAAATATATGTGTGTGTGTATATATAGTATGATAGAGTATTATTTAAAAAACATCTGAAACATAACACACAAAACTGATGATAATTGCTACTTCTAGGGCAGCAGATCTCAAAGTGTGGTTTGTGAAGTCCTTGGGTCCCTGGGGCCCTCTTGAGGCTCCATGAAGTCAAACTCTTTTCATAGTAATACTAAAATGCTGTTTGACTTTGTCAGCTTTCATTCTCTCAAGAGTACACAGTGAGATTTTTCAAAAGTTACATGACGTGATGTTGCAATGGATATAAGTGCAGAGCAGACATGAGAATCTAGCTTTTATTATGCCACATGTTAAAGAAATACCTAAAATGTAAAGCAAAGACATTATATTCTCTCAATTTTTTTTTTTTAACTTTTGGAAAATACAGTTCTTTCTCACAAAAAAAAATAGGTTATTTTTGTTAACATGTAATTGGTACATTATTATTAGTTTTAAATTAATAATTACTAAAATTCAGTTTTAATTTCCAATATAGTTAATATTGATAGTACCTCGTATATGATATAACCAACATAAACAAAAGCCCTTAAGGTCCTCAATAATTTTAAGTGTGTAGAGGGGTCATGAGACCAACATTTTGAGAATTGTTGCTCTCAAGAGAGAGTTAAGATTTTGGGGACTTAAAGGGGAATGACAGACTTTCACTTTATCTGTAGAGGGTAATGTTTACAACCAAATATATTTTTGTTATTACTTACATAATTTAAAATGTGTTAAAAATATCCAGTAATGCCTCAATGCACAATTACCTATATTGAGAGCATATGTTTGCATTACAAAGCAGAACCCTCACATGAAGTAGTTTTCTCATCTTCAGCTGCCCAACATCTCAGAATGCAGTTTATATTGACTCATGCCATTTAAAAGTTTACAAAACATAGAACCGTGAAATCTTGAGGGTTGTTATTGGTTACTAGCCTATTGTCTCTTTCTTCTCTGAAAGCCCCTTTTCAATATCAGAGGCCCTGGTCTATGGCCCTTCTTTCTATCAAAACAAAGAAGGATTTGACAATCCATTTTTGGTTGGATGATTTTATGAAATATATTCACGCTAAATTATCTTAAATAGTTAATTCGATTTTAAGCCTATCATCTCTAATTATGCAATGAGAGGTTTTCTTCATCAAGACCTATTTGTTTTAATCAGGTTTAGAGATGTGTCTAGTACTAAGGGGTTTGGAAAATGATAGCAAGTCTACTCAATCAATCTCTGAAGGCATTAATGGCATCCTTTAGAATTACTCTGCTACTGAATGGAGTTGGAAGGGGGTAATCATTTTCTTTCCAGATGACCTCCTGTTGGAAGTCTTAGCCTGGAAAGTGCTAGGAGTAGAATGAGGGGAAGAGAGGAAGACAGATGCTAATATTTATTGAACACCTTGTACTAAGATGCAGGCTCTTCATACCCTTTATCTTATTACCTTAGCCATTGGAGGTGAGTAATACCTGCATTAAAAAATAAAAATAAAAAAGTGCTCAGAGAGGTGAAGTAAATCCCCCAAATTCCCTTAGCTAGTAAAGGTGCAAGGTCAGGATCCAAATGACAGCTGCAGACATCAATGCCCTCTACAATCACTGTACCATGCTGATTCCATGTTTCTTCTTCCCTGAGGCCTATGGGTCTGCTTTCAAGCTCTCTCCAGCCCTAATGGAGTACAGCCCCTCCTTTCTTTAACCCTGATCTAACCCTAGGCCTTGTGAATGCACATGCTCTCATTTCTGCTGCATTTGGCACTATTTCAATTGAGGGCTGGAGGTAGAGAAGTACTATAAATGCTCCTATACATCTCCTTTCTCCTATCATCTGGAATGCTTTAATTCTCATATTACACCTAACTCTGCATTTGAAAATTCTGATAGAGCAGTATGTCTTAGAAAAAAGCCTACTTGTTAACTGAGGTACATTGTTTTTGAGCTACTATTCAGGTAACAAATACTAAAAATTTTACATTCCTACCTTATGCCAATCAAGATGTGTTTATACAAACTAAATTTAAGAAAAGAGATAGCCCTGGTCAAGTGGCTCAGTTGGGTGGAGTGTCAAGGTTGCAGGTCTGATTCCCAGTCAGGGCACATACCTAGGTTGTGGGTTTGATCCTGGTTGTGGTGCACTTGGGAAGCAACTGATTGATGTTTGATATTCTCTCTCTCCTTTCTCTCTCTCTAAAATAAATTTAAAAAATATAGGTAGATAGATATATGTATATCCTCAGGTGAGGATTAAAAGAAAACAAAAACAAGAAAATAAAGTGCCAAAACCTTCCCATAATACCATCGACACCTACAGTTTAGTATCTTTAAAATGAGTTGTTTCTGAACTGTGTAATTAATGTGTTACTTGATACTCCTGATAGTTACCACAGTCAGTGTATTGAAGCCAGCTCTCCCGAGCAGATGTCCCAGGTCATTGACAGCAGTGAAAGGAGAAACGTGTGGAGCAAATCCTCCTTCCCTTTCTGTTTCTGCTAACTGTAATGAACATCGCAGTTCATAGAGTGTGTCGCCTCCAAACATTGCACCAATAAAAACGCCATCTGGTTTTAAAACATAATGAATCTGTAATAAATACAAGACAGCAAAACTTTTCAAAACTGTATACATAAAAATGGTAAAAAAATAAATAAATATATGGTATCTAAATCAATATTTTATGACTACCACTCGCATTTTGTCAAATTAATAATAATTTAATAAATAACACCTAAGGCAACAACTGTCAGAAAGGTATTGAACTATAATATTGTTGTAAAGATAGACAATACATGCATAAAATGTTATGTTTTTAAATTTTTTAATAATAGACACAACTTATTGTTATATTCAGAAAAATACTAAAAAAAAAAAAAAAAACACACACTGTGGTAGATTGCAAAAATCACAATTCCCTCTGTATCTCTATAACAACTCCCATCAGAGATGGAGTCTACTCCCCTGTCCTTGAATCTGGGCTGATCTTGTAACTTGCTTTGGCCAAAGGAATACAATACAACTGACAGTGCGTCAGTGTCAAGTCAAGGTCACAAATGGCCTTGCATGAATCTAACTGCTCTCTTGGAGCTGCCTGGCCACAATGTTGTGAACAAGCTAGTATGGTGAAGGCTGAGGGACATGAAGAGCACAGGTAAGCCAGGCATCCCAGCTGTTGCCATTCTGGACCAGCAAGCTCCAAAACAATCTAGGACCAGGGACACATGGTGAGTAAAGGCCAGAACCAGAAGAAATTCCTAAGTCCAACCCAAATTTCCATCCTACAAACTCATAAACTACATAAACTTTTGTTTTAAACCACTAAGCTGGGGTGGCTTGATATGCAAAAAAACCCCTAATTTATAGAGAAACCATTATGATTCACAACATTAACCTGGAAACATTAGTTTTCCTTAAGGAGAAGTAACTAACTTCCTTTCTAACTTGAAAACAAAAATACTTTTTAATTGGTAACTTAAGCAAAATAGTGGCTAGAATGAATTCCAGAAATGCAAATGTTTCCTCACTGACTCTCTTAGACCTACAATCTGTAACTAGTTTTGACGGGCTATTCTAAACAATGAGGCACATTACAGGAAAGGATGGATTCTGAAGTAAACCAGGACCCAAATCACAGCAGGCTCTTCTAATCAAAGTATACATCTTGAATTTATATTAAATATACTACTTAATTATATATTTATCACAAAATAGTTTTGTAATATCTTATTACAAAATGTTTTATATTATAAAATATAAAAGTATGTTTATTACAAAATATGAAGCAATTACAAAACACTATATAAGCAAACCAACTGTAAAATCCTTGGTTTCTTCCCTTCTGTCACTTTAGAGTTACTTTCTTCTCTAGTCACCAAACTCTAAAATAGCAAGTACCAAATATTTGGTCCTCAGCTTCTCTACCTCAGAGGGCTTATCAATTCCCATGGCTTTCACAAGGATTATTTTCCAAACTTTATCTTTAGCTTGTACATCTTCCCAGAACTTTAAACTCGTCTTCAACTTACTGTGCCATGAACATTTGTCTCTTGGCAAACTCACTCCCGAACACATCCAACACACATACAACCCTTATTCTTAAACCAACTCCCCTTTACAATTGCCAGGTTTCTGTTAATTTTCATTTTCTATCACCTTTATCTGATCATTATATTTTTTTTCTCTACATTTACTATTCTCCCAGGATCCAGATTCAGAACTATTAAGGTGAGATTTGACTCCTCCCTCTCTTTGATCTTCAGATCTAACCAGCCACTAAACTGTAGATTCTTCCTTTGCAGAGTCCTAAATATCTCCCTCTTCCTTTTACCTCCTATCATTACCAACTAGGTTTAGTTTATCTCATGCCTGGCCCACCAAAACAATCTTGATTCGATTGAACCAACTTCTGGCATTAGTTTTCTAATCAACAAAATGAAGACATCTTACAGAGTTATTTATCACATATAAAAGAGCCCAGTGAGCCCTGGCTGGTTTGGCTTACTGGTTAGAGCGTCAGCCCACAGACCAAATGGTTGTAGGTTCAATTCCTGATATATCTGGGTTGCAGGGTCAATCCGCACTCCACTTGGGTTGGTGCGAGAGGCAACCAACTGATGTGTCTTTCTCACATCGATGTTTCTCTCTCTCTCTCTCTCACTCCCTCCCTTCCACTCTATCTAAAAATCAATGGAAAAATATCCTTGGGTGAGGATTAACAAAAACAAAAAGAAGAGCACAGTGACTGGCAAATAGTATGTGCTTAAGATATGGTAGTTATTATCCTGCCCACCAGCATTTTAGTCATGTCACCTTCCTCTTCAAAATTCTCCAGTGACTCTGACTGCAAAAAGAATAAATTCCAAATTCCTTAATCGTTACCCAAATCTTCCTAAATCTGGTCCCAATAAACCTCGTCTCCAAGTACTATGCTAATCCTCCAAACACGCTTCCTCTTTGTCCTTTCATGCTCCTGGGGCCCTGATACCTCAATGCCTATCCTGATTCTGCCTTTCTGGTATGCTTTCTCACTCCAAACCTGACCTACCCTCTAACGCCCTATTCAAGTAATTTCTTCCTCTTGCAGCTTTCTCAGCAGGTCCAAGCCAGAGTGATCGCCTTCCCTCCTCTGAACAGAATGCTTTTTACCTATCACTCACCTCTTCACAGATAAATATCAACCAACCAACATCTACCTAAAACTCTCTAAGTATAAAGAATGAGGAAGATACAAATATAAACAAGTAAGTTCCCACCCATAAAAAATGTATAGGCAATTAAGGAGAAAAATTAATCCACCTGGAAAAAGTCTTATAATATCAATAACATCATGTACAAGTTACTAAAGTTTTCATAAATATTTAAACATCTTTAGAACTAGATTTTTTTAATTGTCAGGGAGGGGGGAAAATCACCCAATGTACTTAATATATCAAATGGCACCAAGCATATCCAGCCCACAGAACATAATACTTTCTTGATTTGCTCCAATTTCCAATTGTCAGAAGTATAAAATGGAAAACATCTGTACGTTTCCATGGGAAAATAGAAACATCTGTAAGTTTCTAATAATAAATAAAATAATAGAGGCTATTAGAAGCAACATTAAATTTCTTACCTGTTCAAGTGCTCTAGGAAGGTCATTCACCCAGTGCAAACTAAAATATGAAAAGACATAATTGTTCTAGATTAATTCATATAATTAATTAGTATAAGTATCACTAGTATAATGATAAGCCACAAAAAAAGGTGATCATTTTAAGTTGCATAACAAAATTCACTGATTGATTTTATACAAGTTTAAAAAAATAATCCTAAGGAAAAACTTTCCTTCTTTCACACTAGAAAATGTGTAGAATTTCACTTTGCTGATACGATTATCTGTGCCATTATTCTTCACTGAATAAAGTAAAAGTAAATTTTTCTAAATAGGACATACAAATGGCCAAGAGGTATATAAAAAGATGCTCAACATCACTAATCATTAGAAAAATGCCAATCAAAACAACAATGAATTATCACCTTATACCTATTAATATAACTATCATTAATAAAAAAAAAAAAAAAAAAAAAAAAAAAAAAAAAAAAAAACAAGCGATAACAAATGCTGGCAAAAATGTGGAGTAAAGGGAACTCTTGTACACTGTTGGTGGAAATGTAAACTGGCAACCACCAGAGACACACTATGGAGGTTCCTCAAAAAAATTAAAAATTGAACTACCATATAATCCAAAGCCCCACTTCTGGCTATGTATCTGAAGGAAATGAAAACACTTTTTATTTCAAAAAGATATTGGCACCCCCATGTTCAGTGCAGCATTATTCACAATAGTCAAGATGTGGAAACAACCTAAGTGTCCATCGATGGAGGCATTAGATAAAGAAGATGTGGAGTGTGTGTGTGTGTATGCATGTGTGTAAATATATACTTACACAATAAAATATTACTCAACAATATAAAAGAGGGAAATCCTGCCTTTTGGGACAGTAGGGATGGGCCTTGAGGCCATTATGCCAAGTGAAATAAGTCAAAGAAAGAAAGACTGTATTTCCTCACTTACATGCAGAATCTAAAAAAAAACAAACCCAGAAACAGAATAAAATGTTTATCAGGGGCAGGAGATTGAGGGCAATGAGGAGATGTTGGTGAAAGGGTACAAACTCTCAGGTATGAGATGAGTAAGATCTGGGGATCTAATGCACAGAATGGTGACTATAATTAACAACTTTGTATTATACGCTTGAAAGTTTTCAAGAGAGTAGATCTTAAATGTTATCACCACACATACAAAAATCCTAAGAATGTGAAGGCATGAAGATGCTAACTAAATTTATTTTGATAATCGTTTTGCAATATACACATATATCTGATCACCACACTGTACACCTTAAACTTACATATGTTATATATCAATAATTCAATAAAGCTGGGAAAAAAATAAAGTAAAAGTCATTCCTATCCAGCATTTCATCTAAACAGTGCTATTCTGAGTACTTATTTAAAGAAAGTAGTAAAAATAAGCACCTGATGCCATGTTCAAAGAAGTTCATCAATTGAATCAAACAATTCAGCTATAGACATATAGTATTTTAAATCCTACTTTCTTAAAAAATAAAATTTATCAGAAGACCTATAATTTTCCCAAGGTAAATAGTATTAGTCATCAAAAAACTCAAGAGAGTTTTCTGGTAAATAACACCCCATGTTTTTTGAGATCATAAAAGAAAAATACAAACAGATCCAAATCTCTATATATTGCAAACTTAGTTGAAGAAACCTCTTGCATTATCTTTGACCCTATTTACCCTCTCCCAGCATGTAGCAACATGTGACGGCAAGAATCATAGTCTCTGTTCAGTACAGTCACACTTTCCTAATAGAAAAGGATGCCTAGCTGGCATCCTTTTATGACAGCACTAAATACCCATCTCAAACTATACTATGTTAAGGTCTACATTTAACTTTCATAATACTTTCTAACAATTATTAGATACTTTAAAAATTAAAGAAGTCATATAAGCTCTAATACACTTATGGGGAAACTGAAAGCAACAGAATTAGTTACTTCTGCAAACAGCAAGCAAGCTAAAATTAATACTTGGGTTCTGACTTCTTGCCCAGGATTCTTTCCCTTAGCTTCAAAATTTGTCCAGCAATAGAATCTGAATACTTTTCTAAGTTTGCTCAGCATACTTCAACAAGCAGGAAAGACATTACAAACTCACTGAAGAAAACAGCAAAGGTGACCAACTCTGGACTGAGAAGTTTCCTGGGACACAGGCCTTATAATGCTAATACTGGTAAAGTTATGGGCAAACCATGGTTATTGTTCATCTGTTTTAAAAAGTTATCAAAAGGGTTGTATGAGCATGTTGAATCTTTGAAAGAAAACCTGACTATAATAATAAGGCAGGAGAAATAACGTACCACATAGAATTTTTTCTTTAATGTTTTCTTTTTAAAAATATATTTTTTTTCTTTATTGACTTTAGAGAGCGAGGAAGGGAGAGGGAAAGGGAGAGAGACAGAAACATCAATAAAAGAGAACATCGATTGGCCGCCTCCCGCATGCCCCCCATGTACCCTGACTGGGAATGGAACTGGCAACCTCTTGGTGCATGAGTCAACACTCAACCACTGAGCCACACCAGCTGGGCAATATTTTATTTTTTCTATCAGACAAAAAATTCTTTGAGGACAGGATCCCTGTCTAAATTCATTTTTGTATTCCCCCAAAACATCTAACTCACTGCTTTGCATATTATAATCTATCCAATAAATATTTATAATACATGTTTGTATAATAAGTGTGGGAGGACATGATAGAAAAAACAAAAGGAAAAAAGCAACCCTGAGGACTATATTTCTGTGTAGAAAAGGAATTAAAATAGAAGGAAATGCCAGCTTTTCCAGAATGAGTTTGTAAAGGTGCTCTAACATTTGAATATTGCAATCAGCATACTCTTTCAAACTCCTGCCTCCATCAATATCAATTCCGGAATGCTAAGTTATATCGGGAAGGAAAACTCTTCTTTACAGATAAACTTTAGCAAATTGAGGAAAGTTGTGGGGAAAAAAAGTTGAGGTACTATATTATATTATCTCCACTAAGGAGCATATATCCACAATCTTTTACCAGAAAAATCTTCCAGTTTATAAACCTGGTTTGCAACTTAAAAAAAAGACATTAAGAATTTACTCCATTTTTTATTTTATTTATAACATCTATTTCTTAAAGGTACAAATGGATTACCAACCTTAAACTACTAACCACCAGGTCAAATGTATTTTCTCTGAAAGGAAGGAATTCTTCATCAGCTAAAACAGTGACAGTAGGAATTTCCGTTTCTAAGGTATTTTTCTAATGGTTAAAAAACAGAAGTTCAAAAACACATTTATGAAATCTCAATTATTAACATAATCACTGTTTGTTAAACTTAAGTCACATTATATTTATTTGGTAGTTTCTATTCCTTCCGAAAAAGAAAAAAAGAAAGCCACAAATGAAGCACTCAAAAAATATTTCTTAAATTACACTTAAGACCAGCTAGGAATCTGGCTAGCTGGTTGGCAAAACATAAATAGGTCAGCTATCTCATACCAAAACAAATCTCAGAAAGCTAAAAGTTTAAGTGGAATAACTGAAGCCATAAAAGTACTACATGAAAATATTGGTGAACAGTTTTATATTCTTTGATGAAAATGAATAACTGAACACAATTCAAAATCCAGAAACTATAAAGGAAAAAATTGATATATTTGATGATAAATTAATTAAAACTTCTAAAAAGCAATAAATAATGTAAACAACACATTTGGGAAAATATTTACAACATATATAATGAAAGATTAATAACCCTAAAAAATAAGCTAGACTAGAAACCAATTAGAATAAAAACATGCCAAGGCTCAAGTAGATAACGGAAAAGGTACAGACAAAATTATAAAATTCACAAATTAAAAAATTCCAATAGCTAAATATCAGTAGCAAAAAGACATCAACAGTGATTTGGCTGTACTAGAAATCAAAGAAATGCAATAAAAATAACAAGATTCTACTTTCTGCCTGTCAGACTGACAAGAGCACAAGTGGCCCAATGTTGCACAAAAAAGGAGAAAAGAGGACTTTCATTTAATACAGTTATTCAGTATGCCTAAGGTCTGTCTGAAATCCATAAATTCCAGTATTAGAAATCTATTCCCAGGGAGAAAATAAAATACACAAGGTTGTTTTATGTGACATTCATCACAGTGTTGGTTACTGAGAAACTAGAAATATAACTGTCCTTCAATACAAATTTAGCTAAGTAAACCAAGGAATATTCATATATTGGAATACTATATAGCCATTTAAAAAGACTGTGTATGTCATTCACTGATATAAAAGAACGCTGTTCTTCAAAAAACATGATATGTTAGCATAATATTGTTTGTATTATGGGGAAATAAGTGGTTAGGGATAATTAAACACCCACAAAGGTAGAGACCAAAATGTCACCAGTGGATGCCTCTGAGCAGTGAGATTAGGGGTGATTTTTCCCTTTTTATTTCATGTACTGTTTCATTCTTTTTCATGTTATTTATAATTAGAAAAAAAAAGCTATTTTCATCTAAGAGGAAATAAAAATAAAGAAACAGAGAACTAAAAATCAAACCAGGAGATCAAAAACCAATAGTGTTAAAAAGTTACCTACCAAAGCATTTTCTGCTATGTCTGCTTGAATAAATTTCCCAACAGTTTCCTGCAATAAATAATAAAAGCTAATCCAATGTTACAAAACAAATAAACGAAAATCCAGTAACAATAAAACAAAACAAATGTTGAAATTTCTAAAAGAGAATGTGATAGTTACAGATTAATTTTCAGCTTTGTAAGGGTATTTTTCTGCATAAAAGCAGTATGGTGCACAAATTCCTTTAATGACACACATTAAGTTACATAGATTTAAATATATGCAACTGAACTTATATTTAATATACTTAACTATATTTAATTAAATAAAGAACACAGGTGTGAATAATCAACATCCTTAATTTACTCCACTGGGTTAAGGCATACGTATTAACTTTTCCAAAGCATAATATGCCATGAGCTCGTCCCCACTCTTGTGCCATAAAAGACTTGTATTGGTTTTCCAGCCTTTTAGTAGTTCATTCAGAGCTTACAAAGAGTGAAGAAAGACTTAAACATAGACACTTGGGGGTCGGGGTGGGGGGAATAAATGGTTTTATTTTCCCTCTATCTCATTTATCCTCCCTTCCTTCAGAGAGGAAAGAACATCATATTTCTTTCCCAGATTAACACCTTCCACTATGTTCTGTTCTCTCCAGGATCCAGCTCCCTCCATCACCATCTCTACCAGTCTTCAATCTCTGTCTTCTGTGTCTCTTCCCTCACTTTAAAACAGATGCCTCCCAATCTTGAAAAATCTCCTTTAACCACCTTCTAGTTGTTTTGTTTGTAATCCACAACTCCACTTCTTACTAATGTCTTTCTCCTCAATTTCCACTTTCACTGCCCTACAAAAACAATTTCACTAATATCAACTACAGTCTGTCTGCTCTCAGTCTTACTTCACTTGACCTCTTAAAGCACAGCACTGTAGATGATCTCCTAGAAACTTCACTACTTTCTACTCTTGCTCCCTCCTCTGCTAGAAATGTCCATCTTTTCCACTTCACCCACATCCCCTTCTTAAAGAACCTCCCTGCCCACAACTTGGAAAGGTTACACTACAGTTACCTGGCCACCTGAGGACAATTGGTGTGCAGGAGAATGTTTAACTATAAGCTCTCAAAAAAAGGTGCTCTGAGTTGTAGTGTTTGCCAGTTTCCATGGTGTAACTACTCCAATAGAGGATTTCATGCTACCAACATCATGTAGCTAAATGTAGAGTTGGGAAGAGATGTGCACAATAGGCTCTCACAAGCCAGTTCCAGTATACCACTGCAAGGGGCGAAAATTAGGCCAATCAGACTATCTATCCCCGTCTCTCACTCAAAAATTTAAACTAAGAGACTTAGAGACAGGGCAGACCTGGGATGGAGGCAGCAGAGTGCTGGTAACTACATAAAACTGGCTTTTTGCCCTGGCCTGTTTGGCTCAGTGATTAGAGCGCAGGACCATGGACCAAAGAGTGGCAGGTTCGATTCGGTGAAGGGCACGTACCTTGGTTGCGGTTTGGTTCTAGGCCCTGGTTGGGGTCATGCGGGAGGCAACCAATCCATGTGTCCCTCTCTCCCTCCCACTCTATCTGAAGATAAATGGAAAAATATCCTCAGGTGAGGATTTAAAAATAAATAAATAAGTAAAGAACAAAAAAACAAAATCTGGCTTTTAGTGGGGGACTGCTTGGTAGTATTTGCCAACTTCCATGGTGCAAATACTCCCACAACGGCTGATTTCGAGCTATCAATAATGCAATGTCACTGAACACAGGGTTGGGAAGAGATGCTAACAATCAGTTTTTATGAGCCAGTAGAGCTAATTTCAGCACACCAGTGGGTGTAGGTTACTCATATTGAGGCCACATGCACTGGTAAACACCAGGGATAGTGTGCAGGGAAAAATAAGAAAGAAAGCAAACTTGTGGCATCTATGTAATCCCAGAGAGCATGTGCACAGAAGGACCTTCGTTCTGATGTTCCAAATTCCTCATCCCTGTGATGCTGTCTGTACTTCCACATCCTGAGTGACATAAAAGGCTCTAAGTAATAAATGTTCCTGTATTTGAAATGGCTTCAGTGGAGTTCTGCTTCTTATAATCAAAAGATACCTTATTTAGACACTTTTAATCTTACTTACTATCCCTGACATCCTTATGAGTTCCTCCTCATTCTCCCACCCCTAAGGTTCCTTTCTATATTCTTGCCCCTAGACCTTACTGACTCCTATGTTCAGAGGTGACAACTGAAGCCACTGACAATTGTCACCTGACAGAAACTTCCAAATAAGAACAAGAGCCAAACTTAACTTCTCTCAATCTTCTTGTCAACCAGTAGAGATGTATTATTACTTCCATTTTACAGAAACTGAGGTCTGGAAAATTCGGGTAATTGGTCTAAGTGTACATAGAAAATGGCAGAGCAGAATATTGAATTCTCATGTCAATGACCTTAACCTCAAAACCCCAATTCCAATTCCACATTTCTAACTACCTGCTGGACATTAACACTGTCATCTTAAACTCAACATATCTAAAATAGGAATATCCCCTGCTCCTTGCCCCATTTCATTCCCTGACTTTTTCCAGTCACCGAAGTCAGCTTAAAACTTATCTTGCATTTATTCATGCAATAAGCATTTAATAAATCTTCATTGTGTGTTGTAGATACTGAAAATTTAGTGGACAACAAAAATGAGCAAATCCACGGAGCTTATATCCCCGTAAAAGAAGACACACACCAAATAAGCATACATCAGGTGCTAATAAGTGTTATGGAAGCAAACAAAGCAACTAGTCAGTGGCGAATGGGGACCCTATTTTATAGAATAGTCAGGAAAGGGATGGAACTTTGATGAAGGATCATTTGAGCTAAGACCGGAAAGGTGAGGAAGTAAGTCACACGAAAGTCTTGTGGAAGAGCATAGAAAACAACAAGTTCAATGTGAAGCCCTGGCCAGTTTGAGAGACAGTAAGGAGGTCAGCTACTGAAAGAGGGGAGTAGGGGATGGAGATAAATCAGACATGACAGAGAGCCAGATCACTAAGGGTCTTGTCTAGGACTCTGGATTATTAGAAAGTTACACGAGAAGCCAGCAGTTCTGAGTAGAGGCCTGAGAATGAACTGACTTGTGTTTTAAAAGAATTACTTTACTGTAAGAATGGACAAGGGCAAGGGTAGAAGCAGGGAGGCTGATAAGGTGGCTACTATAATATTAACCAATGGTAATGGTGAAAGTGGTAAGAAGTGGTAGAGTTATGGATATATTTTGAAGTTCAAATAAGATTTGTTGATAGATTTGATGTGGGAGGGGAGGACAAAAGAAGAATCAATGAATAAACTAGACTGAGCAATTAGAATAATTGATTTGCCATGCCCACCATATCTGATCAGTCATCAAATTCTGTGGATTCTACTAGGTCTCTCTCATACACCTCTTCCTTTATATCTTGCTGCCTCCATATAGGTGGCAGGTCTTTATCTCTCCCGTCTGCACTGCCTTTAACACAGCTCTCTAATTTTTCTGTTTCGTTATCCTCTCCCTCTTCAATCCTTCTTGCATACCATCCTGAAATTAATCTTCCTTAAAAATCACTGTATCATGCCCCACAGTATTCTACCTCTGTGCCTTTCCTCCTGCCATACCTTTACTTCTAATAACTATGAAACACAGACCTGTGCCCTTTTAGAGGTCTTTCAACACAAGAACCCCTACTGATTTTTCCTTTCCCTTAACCCCATTGTAGTTTAATAACTGTACCATTTCTGTGGCATTTACTATTATCAACACCAGTGTTTTGGGAGCTTCACACATATCCCTACCTCTGCCCTGACCCAAGTGTATGTTTTTTCCAAAGTAGATTTTATACAGAAACCCCTCCTTAATCTGTAGCCATCGGTGTCCTATATATAGGGGCTAAAACAATAAATAAATGTCTTTATGGTTTGAATTAGAAAATGCAAAATGAAATGGCATAAGCATTAATAAAGGCAACTTATGCTGAAATTAATACTTTTCCTGGCTAAGAAATTAGTTTAATCATATTTTCCAAATGACTGTCAATCTGATTTTATTGTGAATTTTTAAAAACATTTGAACAAAGTAGGAATAAGGAGCAAAGTATCTTATATAGATTTAAAGAAAGTATCAGTAGGAACACTGTAGATTCAAAGTAAAGAAAAACCACTTTAAGGAAAAATTCTTTAGAACTGACACAAAACAACCATTAGTTCAACCACTAAAAAAAAAAAAAATGTAACAATTCTGATATAATCCAAATATAACTGATTAGGAAATTCTTTCCTTAAAATCAGCCAATTTTATTTATTAAAGTAAATTAAATCACACAATAAATATACCTTATTCAAATGTTGTGCTATGTAACCTCTTCCACAACCGATATCCAAAACAAGGGGAAAATCTCTAAAACAGAGACACAGAAGTTATGTTTTATCTGTAATAATACAGTCCATAAAACAATTATTAAGAACTAATTTTGCTTATAATTTATTAAGAACTAATTTGAAAGTGAATGCAACTTTCAAAAAGTTTTATCATAAGTACCAGAAAACATAATGGATAGAGCAGATCATCTGGTCTAGCCATTCACAGTACCTCACAGTCAATTGGCTTTCCATATGGTTGCTCCAAAAGGATTCAAAGAACAGATTCAGTGAGTATATTTTAATTTGATAATATATCCAGATTAATAATGAAGAGAAGTTCATGTAAATTAACATAAAAATATTCTGCATATCTATCAGAAACTTACTAATTATTTCTACTTCTCAAATTTGTTGAGGCAGCATATGACTTAGATAGCATCATGTGAAATACCATAAAGTATCATACACTAAACTAAAACAAAACACCAGCTAAATAATAGCTCACTTTTATTGCAGTCTTACCAGGTTCAGCAGTATACTAAGTGTTCAAATTTAAGTAAGCCAACCCAAGGTCACTCAAGTAAAAAGCAGCATTCAGAACTTGAATTCAGTCCATTTGAATCCTGAACCAGAACCATTATCCCCTATGCTATGCTGTCTTCTCTAAATATACCGTGTCATTACTAAATCAGTACACATATCTAATTGTAGGCCATAGATTTACGAAAAATTTGTGACAAGCATACTTAAAATTTTATCCACTAATAACGTATTTTCCTACTGAAACCAAGAAAGTCCCTTCTCAAGTTCTATTAAACATGTGTGTCAAACATATAGAACACCAGTACAAAACTGGAGAACCACTTGTGAGAGAGAACTGTTTATATACCTAACACCCTCTAGCTTGTTTGTGAACACAGGTGGTATATGGCACCATGAAGTGCATAGGCTTTGCAATCAGAAAGACATGAGTTAGAATTCTGGGCCTGAAATGTATTGGCTCTGTGACCAGATACAAGTGATTTAATCTTGCTGTATCTCAGTTTCCCCAACCATAAAATGGGAAAGTTATAGTCTCCTGCATGGTTGGTGTGCACATTTTAGGAAACAGTGCATATAAAATATTTAGCCCAGTACAAATGTTCAATAAAAGTTAGTTATGAGTTATTATTATCACTGATTAAAACAGTATGAAATGAACCTCAGATAACACAAATAAATTTAATAATCTAGGGGATTAGTTTTAAAAAAATCATCACAAGATCAGTGCTGACAATATAAACTACTCTTTCTAATAACAGAACATTAGTACAAGAACATTTAGACTGGTATTTTAAATAATTTAATTCCAGTTACTATTAGTTTAAGACATACATGCTTTTGGCCATAATCACAGTTCTCTCCACAGACCATGTTTTATTCAATAGTATGGCATAAAATAATTATAAAATTCAAACTGATTTGGAAAATTTGTTTTATTCATTAAATTACAAATGTCCAAAAATCAGGCAAATGAATGACTACAGTATAGAGAATTCGCTATTTTTTAAAATCTTTAAAATAATGCAACTAATGAAACAGATGAAATGGGAATAATTTTTTTTTTGTTAGTCCTCACTCAAGGATATTTTTCCATTGATTTTTAGAGTGTGGAAGGGAGGGGGAGAGAGAGAGAGAAACACTGACACAAGAGAGAGACATCAATCAGCTGCCTCCTGCACAACCCCGACCAGGGCCGGGGATTGAACCTGCAACCCAGGTTCGTGCCCTTGACTGGGAATCAAACCCAAGACCTTTTGGTCTGAGGGCTGACGCTCTAACCATTGAGCAAACTAAGCAGAATGGAGGGGGACAATTTTTTAACCTTACAAAATCCAATCATCCCAACTCTATTAAGTAGCAAGGATATATCTAAAATATGATTGAAAGACTCTGTGATTTTAGAAAATTCCCCCTTTTTATAGACAAATGTAACAAAGTCATCCCATATTGGTCTAATTGAATACCTTCTAAACAAACAAAAAAGTACAAAAAGTGATTTATTGACATCACAGAACAATTCTAGGCAAAGCCATTATTTAGCTGTGGTTCCCATCATGTAGTTATAAATTTCAATCTATAAAGCTTTCACTATGCCTAATACAGAGCAATAAATCCATCAATGTTTTAATAATTACTTGAAGAAAGCATTATTTTCTCAAATATGCCTCTATATAATTATCATAGAACAAGTATTAAGAATACTTAACATAAAACGGCCAAAGTCTATGATAGCCTGATTGAGAGACAAATCTAGGTAGATTTTCCTTGCTTAGAATGGTAAAAGATTCTATTGTTATTTTTAGTTAAACGTTTAAAGCTAGGTTTAGTAAATACTATTCAAAATTCTCATGCAGTCAATTCTTTATCTCCATTTTTGGAGCTATCTTTCTACTACTGGCTTTGGCTAACTCAAGTAGACCAGTCATTCAGGCTTAGAGAGAAGTTAAGCATTGTGCTTCCAGTTCATTCTTTCTTTAGGCAACAATGAAGAGCACTTGGTCTTTCAGACGTGAAAAAGGAGAGACTTAGAGAGGGATTAAAATCACTAATCCTAGTAATAAATTCATCCAAATTCTGTCATTCCAGATATCAAGCTCTCATCATTTAATTCCTCTCAAGTCACCAAAGTTGATTGTATTTTGTTATGTATTTATCATCACCTACCTGGCTATGTCATACACACGATCCGCAATCCGAATTCCAACCTGAAGGATTGTAAAAGACAATGAAGTGACCAAGTTAAGATAAGTAGGTTTAATAGAGAAGTAACACTCTTTTCTAGTATTCAACAATCCATAGTCATTTATCTTTCAACATGTTTGTGAGTACTTCCCTTTATGCCTCTTTCAATGTGACCACGGCAACTTTCTTTTCAAATTCTAAATAGGAACATAAGGAATAAAAATATCCCAGGAGACAAAGTGAGGTAAATTGCTTCAGAAGTCAATTTAAAGGAAATCAAGACTAAACATATTCTACATTCTCTCTCTCTCTCTGTATAGATGTGTGTGTGTGTGTGTGTGTGTATAGTCTTTATATTCCACGTGCTATAAGAGCACAAGGATGAAAATCAACAGGAACATAAAAGGCACATTATTGTCCACAGATTAGCATGAAGTATATGAAAGTGAAAAATTAATTAATTAGCTGGGTTTTATTACAGATGAATGTATAAACTTAATCATTTAGTTTAAAACATTATTTGATGGCTACTAACAAGTTTTATGGAACTCCTAAATGAGTGAACAACTTTCCTGTGTAATATTTGCCAATTAGAAAAAGTCAGCCAAATCTGAAGAAACTGCACTTCCCACCCTAATTTAAAAGGTCATAAGATAGATGCCTCCTTTTGCTAGGCTATCTTTATCTGGCAGGAATAGATGCAGAAGCCCAGTATTCCTCAAATTCTATTAATCCTCTCATAAACACCCCAGAATTTCTAGTAGGACATGAAAGTTCAGAATATGAATATCTGCTTTGGAGGGTGGGGGAAGGGAAGAGGTATAGCAGAAGTCTTTTCCCAAGGTCCACTTTACACATCATGCCTAAAATGAATATCTTGTATTTATTATAAAAATAACTCTCATGTATTTTATATCATTTATTCTAGTCTTGTACACTGTCTGGGCTTCAGTCTAATTGTAATCCTGGAACTTTTCTTGGAGAAGACTGGCTAGGAATGCCAATCTTCTAAGTATATACTATCATGAACTCTGAGAACAGTCAATCATCTGATCAGGCCAGAGCTTGCAGAGAGCTCTGACCAAAGTATGAGCTCAGTAAGTGTTTGTTGCATTGGCTTGAAATAGTACATTATACTCGACTTCAATTTTGCTCTACCCGTGAAGAAACAATTACTCAGGCCTTAGCTTGGTACTGCCTGTCCACCTGAGCAGAGATCTTAATGTACCTTAATTTGATTTTCCGAAAACAAAAACAGATCCTATCACTCCACTGCTTAAAACCATTCAACAGCCTCACATTCCTCTACAGCAGTGCTGGCCAATACAAAAACAGTAAGAGCCACATGTGCAATTTAAATTTTTCTAGTAGCCACTTTACATGAAAAGGAAACAGGAGAGCCCAGATGGTGTGGCTCAGGGGTGGACCCATGCACCAGGAGGTCACCAGTTTGATTCCCAGTCAGGGCACATACCCAGATTGTGGGCCCAATTCCCAGTTGGGGGCATGCAAGAGGTGGCCAATTGATGTTCTCTCTCACTGATGTTTCTAGCTCTCTCTCTCCTTTCCTTTCTCTCTAAAATCAATAAAGAAAAAAGAAACAGGAGAAATTAACTTTAACATATTTAACCTAATATATAAAAATATATAATTTCAAAATGCAATCAATATAAATACTGAAATACTTCACATTCTTTTTTCATACTAAGTCACTGAAATCCAGTGTATTTTCCACTTACAGCACATCTTAATTCGACTAGCCACATTTGAAGTGCTCAATAGTCACATGTAGCCAGAGATTGCCATAATGAATGGGGAGCTGAGATAGAGAAAAAAATCCAAAATCTTACCCCTTAAGGCTCTTATAATCTGGGCCCACACAGACCTCCTCTCCCACACTCTCATTGGAGGCCTCAACAAGGTCCTTTTGGCCACAAAGGCTCTGCATTTGTCTTACCTTTGCCTGTAAGGCTTTCCTCCCCAGATCTCAGCATGGATTCTAATGCTGCATCATATGGTCTGCCTGGGCGGCCTTCTCTAACCATTGCAGTCACTATACCACTTCACTTTATTATCTCATCTTTCTTCTTTAGCTAACATCACAGTTGTGTGTTCACTGTCTGTCTTGCCTCCCACAAGAATGAAATCTCAGGAGGGCAGCGGTCAAGTTTGACTTAGACATACCTGCAACTCAAGCAATATGAACGAACGAACGAACGAACGCACGCATGAATGAATGAATATGCACCTTCCAAACATCCGGGCCCAGCCCTTTCCTGATTACAGTACAGGCCCAGAAAGGCAAAGTGCCTGCTCAAGGTCAAGCGGAGAGAAAGGATCTATCAGGACCTGTCCGGAGCTCGGGAACCCAAAGCCTAGTCTCGGTACCGCCCTCTCCCGCCGCCCCGCGTACTCACCTCCTCCTTCAGGTAGTCAAACTTCAAAGGCTCGGGCTGTCGGGCCGCCCAGTTCTTCTGTTTCCTCTTCAAATCCCGGTCGAAGATATTTAGGGCTCTGGGCGATGCGTTGCCCGGGAAAGAGACGCCAGAGGCGACCTTTCGGAGACCAAGGTTCTTTCCCCGGACTCCCGCCGCCGGAGGTCGGCGCAGCAGAAGCCAGAACCGGGTCAGCGGCAGCATCTCTCTGGAAGACGCCACTTGCTAGCGCGCCTGTAGTGCGCAGGCGCCCCGCAGCTTCGGCGCCTGCTCTAGAGCTCTTCGCCGAGGGAAAGCGAAGGTAGTTTGGCCCAGTTCGCCTGCCATGATGGCGGAGCGTCACGCGGAGGATTGTGGGTGCGGTCCCACGTGAGGCTCGGAGAAGGCTCTAAGCAGGTGAGTGAAGTAGGATTCAGCAAGGACTGTGGAGCGAGCAGAAGCAGTCTGACTGGAGTCGTGAGAGGTACACCCCTCCTCCTTGCCTTCCGGCCTCATTTTTCAGACTTCCTTGGTCCTTCTCAGGGTCCTTAGTCCAATAGCAGCGCCCTGAGGCTTGGGAGCTTGGAAGAAGACCTTAGTTCCCGGGCCACTTTGTTGTTCCCCGCGTTAGAGGGTGGGTATAAAGGGAGGGTGGACCACAGAGAGGAGAGCGGGCTTCAGAGGTGAGGTCAGGTCGCCTTCCCCTCTCTGAGTATCGGACTTTTGTCCAGTGGTTTCTTTCTAAACGTGTATATGCGTTGCCTCTGGTTGTTAGATGAAATTGTATCTACCTCGTAAGGCTTTTCTGAGGGTTAAATGCTTTGATACATCTAAAACTCACAGATTAGCAAGTGGATTATTGAAGCCTTTGAATTTTTCTTGGTGTATAAAAAATTGTTTTAAATTCTTAGGAAAAAAATATAGCTTTATCGGCAAGCCTTGCTTTTTTGAAACAAGGCACCACTACCCTGTTTGATTAGTACTTTTTTGCTCTTAATAATCAATGACATTTGACTCTTTGCAAAAATCAAATCTAGAGACATACTAAACCACTAGTGAATGTTTTCAAGAAACAATGGTAATTGTATACACACGTATTCCAATATGTTTGGGGTGGAGCAGAATCATCCCATTTGGTGGTTGGTCACTTCTAGAATAAGAAATCATAGAAAGGTGTGGTATTTATTAACTAGAGTGAGACTTTACCTGGTTCTTGAAGGATGGTCGAATCTAAAGAGGGAACTTTGTGAACTGAACTGACTTGATTTTGGTCTATTTTCTTATGAGACTAGCTTTGTAGAACTAAAGATTGTTTGAAGTAGCATGAGGTGAGGAATAGCAAAGAGAGTGGAACTGGAATGTGCAGGAAAAAATGAGACCAGTTGAGGCTTGGGAATTATTTATTTATTTATTTATTTATTTTGTTTATTCTCACCTGAGAATACTTTTTCATTGACTTTTTTTAAGAGAGAGTGGAGGTAGGGAGAGAGGGAGAGAGAGAGAAACAAACAAACATCGATGTGAGAGAGACACATGATTGGTTGCCTCCCTTACGTCCCCAAGCCAGGGGATCGAACTGCATGCCAGGTAGGTGCCCTTGGTTGGAATTGAACCAGTGACTCTTTTGGCCAGCACTGAGTCCAACCAACCAGGGCAGAGGCTTGGGAATCTTAATTTACATTCACTTTTAACTTGTAACACCTACAGGTATACAAACAAAAATCTAAAAATTCTGAGTGCAGTTTGTTAGCAAGTATTTGCCCTGGAATTATGCTTGCTTTGCCCTAAATTTATTTCTTCAAATGCTCTATAATCGAAAGAGGATATTCTGATAGTTTTTGGTTTTCTGCATGTGACTCAAAATTGTTTCTAAATGAACATAGATTTGTTACCTTTATTTACATTTAACTTAAACTATATTGTAAATTAACATTTTTTTCCCAAAACATCTCATTTAATTATATTACTAATCCTTCGTTATTGCAACATTTGTTTTATTTTTCAGTATTTGGTTTCTTTAAGCACTTGTCCAGTCAGACATTTAAAAATGGCATCCAAACAAGAATTAATGAGTGACCAACGGTTTAAGCAGATTACAAAGGACCCAAGATTTTGGGAAATGCCAGAAAAGGATCGAAAAATCAAAATTGACAAAAGATTTCGAGCAATGTTTCATGACAAAAAGTTCAAGTTGAATTATGCTGTAGATAAAAGAGGACGCCCCATCAACCACAGCACTACAGAAGACTTGAAACGTTTTTATGACCTTTCAGATTCTGATTCAGATCTTTCAGGTGAAGATAACAAAGCATTGAACCAAAAGAAAATAAAGAAGAAAAAACAGAAAAGTGAAATAGAACTAAAAAACCTAAAGAAAGAAAATAAGAAAATTTACCAAAAGGATTCTGGAAATAAAAATGATGTAGATAACTGTGACAAAATTCAGAAAATGAAAAACTCATGCAAATCTAAGGAGATAGATTCAAAAATAAGTCCCAAGAAAGATAATGAAGAATTTATACCAAAATGTACAAAAGTGGAAAAAAGTAATGTTCAACATAATACAGACTCATGTCCCAAAGGAAAACTAAGGACAGCAGACGCAGGCACTTCTGAAATTGTAAAATCTCCCAAGATGAAACATTCTGAGACGAGAAGAGAAATGCAGTCAGGTTTGTTGGAAAAATTAAAGATTTTTTGCTATTACATTATTTATATTTATTCTGATCTTTTAAAAATGTAAGCATATTTAAGTATTTTCATAGTAATGGGAATTTGCAAGTGCTTATTTAGAAGTATAAAGATACACCTTGGCCAGTTTGGCTCAGTGGTGAGCGTTGGCCTGCAGATCACAGAGTCCCGGGTTCAGTTCCTGCTAAGGGCACATACCTCGGTTGCAGTTTGTCCCTGCCCCAGTTGTAGTCGTGTGGGTGGCAACCACTTGATGTGTCTCACATTGATGTCACCCTCCAACCCCCCACTCTATCTGAAGATAAATAAAAAAAATTTTTGTTTGATTTGGTACGATAATGATTAGAATACATACAAAAATTTGAGTCTTGAGGTTAAACAAAACATTTGATTTGTGGTGGGCACTAGTGAGAGCTATGTTCTCTACTCAGTTAAAGTGTTATATGTTCTCATCAAATGATAAGAAGAATTGTGCCTGAGGACGGTAATGGAGTTGAGTGCTCATCCATTGCTTCGTTCAACTACTCTTAGTGACTAATATTTGGCAGATAGAACGTGAGTAAGACATAGTTCCCCTCTCAGGGCTACTGTTAGCTTATATAATGTCTGTGAAAATTAGAAAAAGGTATGTCCTTCTGAACACACAGAACTCACAGTTTGGTGAGGGACAGCCTTAAGTGAACCAACAGGTTCTCTTTCCGTAAATAGACATCGCTTTCCTGTACAGTGTATGGCTTAGTGAGTGGAGTTTGGTCTTGATTTCAGCCTATCTTGCCCCTTTGTATATCCTCTATTATAAAAAATAGCTCACTAAGCTATGCAGGGCCCTGGTCGAAAGCAGCACTTTCCAGTCACCACAGTAAATATAATAAAAATGTTTTTAAGAAAAGCAGCACTGTCAATAGAAATGCATAATTTTGAATTTCCTAGTAAATGTTAAAAAGAAGCAGGTGTAATTAATTTTATTAATATATTGTATTTAACCTAGGATATGAAAATTATTTCAATGTGTGATCAATATAAAAAAATTTAATGGGATGGTTTACATTCTATTTCATATTAATCTATAGTTAAATGAGCCACATTTCTGGTGCTCAGTTGCCACATATGGCTGCTGACTATCATATTGGACAGGGCAGATATAAAGTGAAAGGAATTAGTCAAAATTGAAATATGAAATAGAATAATTTTAAGAGCCATAAAAGATGTTCAGTAGAGAACTATGAGAATTTAGAAAAAGACCTCACTCAAGATTCAGAAAAAGTCATAGGTGAAGTATTCTTTTGGTAAAGGTTTGGAAAAATTAAATTTGGAGACAAAAATTTGTGGAACATTTAGGAGACTTGGGGTGGTAAACACACTGTACAATATACAAATAATATATTGTAGAATTGTATGCCTGAAACCTGTATAATTTTATTAACCAATGTCAGCTCGATAAATTCAGTAAAAAAATACAAAAGAAATTAAAGTTAAATAATAGAGCCCTGACTGGTTTTGCTCAGTGGTTAGAGCGTCAGCCTGTGGACCAGTGAGTCATGGGTTTGATTCCGTTCACATCAATGTGCCTCTCCCCCTCTTCCTCCCTTCCTCCTACTCTATCTGAAGATAAATGGAAAAATATCCTTGGGTGAGGATTAAAAAAAGAAGGTAAATTATATAAATAAGAACAGTAATAAGGTGATTTATTAGTTAGGTATTAAACATTGTACCTTACACGATACAAATGAAACCTCCTTCTGATTAAAAAATACATAAACTTGTGGAGTATTCTACATGGAGAGGACTTTTTGAGCAAAATATGGTTGGGCATATTCAGAAGAGATCATTATTCCCATTTGATTAGATAAGGTCTCTGAAGGGGTGAGTGGATGATACAGCTAGAAATGGCTGTTATCTGATTCTAGTTCATATTTACATGTTCACTAAGCTTATTAAAATTTTTGTGTCCGGCAGCAGGAAGTTCTGAGTTTAGGTGTTGCTGATTGTTGTTAACTGAAAATTGGTCATATTCAGATGAGTCAGGCAAAGGCTTGGGTCCAAAGACAGGACCCAAGGAAGGCAGGCATCAGGAAATAGCAAAGAGAAGTCTTGACAGGCTGAAATTACATTGGGAAGGTGAGGAGTATCAGGCAGTGAGTAGAATTCTATATAGCAGGAATTAGGGTTCAGGGGTGGAATACCATTGTATTTATATTGGAACCAAGCAACAAACTGAGGTATAAGGAAAAGGGATAGGAGTCTGGTTACTGAAATTGGAGAATAAGGTCAAAATGGAAATAGCAGCAAGGTTGGTTTGAGTTTGTGAGGTTAGTCTTGCAGCCTTTAAATTTCATTAGATTTAGGGCACTGGATTGATATAGCATATTCATATAATCTTTGGATTGATTTTACAGGATCTTGTTACATATCTTTCTTTAATTTTCTTAATAAGATATATTAATCAGGAAAGAGGGCTAAAGTAATTTATGTGAGGATACACAGCTGAACCTGCATCTCAAGTCCTTGAATCTTTCTACCCTGCCATGTTGCTTGCTGTAGTTTAGAAAGGCATTATCTATAGG